AGTTAATTAAGAAGATACCTGTCCTATAATATGCTTAAAGCATAGACTGACTTTGGAACATTAATTATTTATATCAGTGAGTGTATTACTTATAATATCTCTATTAACAGTAACTTATTATCGATATATAATCAGTTGATGTTTCAATATTTAGCATTGAAGCTCTGTATGGTTTTTAAGCTGCAAATATTTTGATTCAAAGTTAACTATAATGTAATTACTTTGATCATGAATACAAAATAACAAATATTTCCCCCCAAACAAAAATTTCCTAGTTAATTACATTGGTCGCGTAAACTAAGTTACCTGTCAATATATAGCTTAACTTCTAAAGCATCATATACACCCCCCCCCCCCACCCCACACACACACACTATAATTATCTTGATGTTAGCTTCTCATCTGTCTAATATCTAATAAAGAAAGATGGAATTACTTTTCCCTTTTTCCGAATACTCATTACTTCAGAACATATAATCACCCTTTAGCTATATTGTCGCTCCCGGGAAAAAAAAAATATATATATATACTAGCATGTAGGTGATCTATTTCAAGAAAACCAAGTTTACTAAATTGATTTAAAACCTGCTAGTTGCACTTGAGACGAAACTAGTCCGACTCCAATCAATATTTCCGGTGGAGAATATTTTTATTGTTGTTTTGTAAAGAACTGAAAGACGTCACAAATCTACATGAATTCACGTTGGTTAAGTAAAATGTTTAGGGAAAGAAAATGAGGAGAAAAATGTCGTTATTGTAATTTGAAACAATATCACGATTTGTTTTTAAGGAAAGTTCTTAAGAAGGAATTAGGGATTGATTTGGTTTTGATTTTCTGGGTGAAGATAACTTTTCTACCATGTCGCTTTTGGAGCGAAGACCTTTGAACCAAGTAGATAATTTGGTCTGAGAAACTGTTTTCTATAATTTCGATTCAACTCTTTGGCTTTTTTTTTAATATTTCGAACTTGGTTATTGGTTAGACCAGAACTAAGGTATGATTGTTAGATCTTGAATCCTGATTTATCTGATGAAAAATCTCTAACTACTATAAACCAGCTGTTAAACTTTCTTTTTTTCTTCGGTTGTCCCGACTCCAAGTTGGTTAGTAGATCAAGAACATTGAGAAGAAACTGACACTGTTAAAATACTTGATATAAACGAAAATAGAGGTAATATTTATGAAGTAAAATGGCATATAGTTGAACTGAATGTAATCCAGAAGTAATCGATCCAGAATGGCATATAGTTGAACTGAATGTAATCCAGAAGTAATCGATCCAGAATGGCATATAGTTGAACTGAATGTAATCCAGAAGTAATCGATCCAGAACGGCATATAGTTGAACTGAATGTAATCCAGAAGTAATCGATCCAGAACGGCATATAGTTGAACTGAATGTAATCCAGAAGTAATCGATCCAGAACGGCATATAGTTGAACTGAATATAATCCAGAAGTAATC